TATATTGCGGCATATACAGGATGACACGACTGAGCGCACAACACAAATAAATCGCCCTGATTTAAATGAGGAAATATACCAACTAAAAGTAGGTAATTATTTCAATATTGTTATTGAGTGAGTATAATCTTATTCCTTGTAAGCCAATGTTTTGGTCGTAGGTAATGGGCAATTGGTATTTTGGGAAATTTTGGTTATTTCCCAAAAGGGAATTTTGGTAATTCCCTCGGTAATGGGCTCCGTGAAAACTCTGGAACAAAAATCTCTCGTGAAATTAAAAACCCTAACGCATTCGGGACACCGATAGTATTCTCACGTGAGTAATTGCGTATTTACGGAATACATATAAATTGGTGATAGATGCGTCAGGGTACCTCGCGGCATGAGAATAGGCAATCGTTTTATGGCTGTAATGATTTCTTACAACAATCGTGAAGAAATGTTAATTGAGCAGTCATATTAGTTTTATCTCTAACCTTCGAAGTTATAAAAGCCACGTCAGTGAACTCTTATCGCAAGCATGGTTTCTTCCTGTTGTTGTTGTTGTTGTAATTGCTCAACCTGGTAGTGGCGACTAGGGTCACTACCAGGTTGTTGGGTCAGCTTTCCAGAGCAGCTGAACTACAGAGTTTACGACCACCACTGGCTCGCTGAGTCGCCTGAACCATTTGAGTGAATTACACAACACTCTGGACAAGCCAGGTACTCATTTGTCAACCAGAATTGTATTGGAACGAATGATTTGGCCAGCAGCTGAGACTCCCGAAGAATTTGTCATACGAGAGACTCGAACCCGCGGGTCACTGCATGGGTGCGAGACTGTAGAGTCACCACTGTAGCGTCGCGCTTTCGCGTCCTCCCCCGTCTGTTTATCACGATCGAATCTCAGCTAAAGAGAGACTTTTAATATAATATAGAGTTTTCAATAAGCAAACTTTTCAACAATCTCCTCATTAAAACTCTATCTTACATATGGAAGCCTTATTTAATGTTGTCAGATAGGTGAGCTTAATCTTTGATCTGTGGAGTTCTTGAATGAATCGAAATAAAATGACTCTTTTAAACTGTTAGTTCGAGCCACGTCCCTTTTAGACGAACAATCCCTTACAATACTAAACGAAGGAAACATATTACTCTTGATTTATAATTTCATTTTTACTTTGAAATTTTCAGCGGAGAAAATACCTAGTGCGCACATTGCGGCCTAAAGTGATTTGACTTGAGATTGTTTTATCTTATCTGCCTATCACGAATTCGTAGAAAAGAGCGAGTCGCGCGCCTCAACCAAGCTTTAGTTTTACAACAGTCGTAGTAAATTTCTGTCACGGCATGAATGAAAATAACTCATTACAATAATAAATATGTGATGCTCCTGGATGTTGCTTAAATTCCATTATCAATTATGGCATCTGCATTATATTAAATACCCTGGCTTACTCTGCAACAGGCGGTACAAAGAAGGTCGTAGTGCAGTCTGCAAACAGGCCTTCAGCACAGCCTGCACCTGGACGCGACTCTGTTCATCTTGGCCTGCATCTTCCTGCGCTGCGAAGTCACGCGGACGATCGTAGCATTTGTAACAGCGCTTCCATGTTGCCAACGTCGGCGCTGCAACACTTGCAGCAACGACTGAGAATCCAGCGATGCACGATGCTCCTGTTGATGTTGCTGTTGGTGCTTCCATTGATGCTACTGCGTTTGATGCTGTTGTTGATGGGGTTTCTGCGGTGTGTTTATTGCCATGAAATCTGGTATGTGTTTCGATCATGTGCGTCGTGGTCGTGGAGAAGCCATTCGTGCCAAGTTTTCGAGTGTGGTTATAGACGAAGTCGCTTGACAACTGAAATGCGAACTTAAATGAATCTGAGCTGTAGCTCCTCAAGTTGTTGTTCTGTTTCCGCAGGACAAGGGAATTTACTCGGGCCGTGGCGAGACTGAACGAGAACTCCGTCATGATGCGTCGGTTCGCATTGGCGTGGTAGCTGTAGGCTCTGGTTCTCGTATTTGAGCTTCCCATTATGGCTTCATTTAGTATTTATATTGCAAGTTTGTTTTTCAAGTCTTCAGTCGTTTCAATAAGAGAGGGCAAAGTTATGAGTAGCATAGGTCGTAGTGCAGTCTGCAAGCAGGCCTTCAGCACAGCCTGCAACTGGACGTGACTCTGTTCATCTTGGCCTGCATCTTCCTGCGCTGCGAATCACGCGGACCATCGCAGCATTTGTAACAGCGCTTCCTTGCTGCTGACGTCGTTGCTGCAACGACACTTGCAGCAACGACTGAGGGTCCAGCGATGCACGATGCTGCTGTTGATGTTGCTGTTGGTGCTCATATTGATGCTACTGCAGTTGATGCTGCTCTTGTTTCTGCTGCTGTTGATGGGGTTTCCGAGTTGAGTTTATTGCCATGAAATCTGATGTGTATCGATCATGTGCGTCGTTGTCGTGGAGAAGCCATTCTTCTTAAGTTTTCGAGTGTGATTATAGACGAAATCGCCTGACAAATGCGAACTTGAATGAATCTGAGCTGTAGCTCCACAAGTTGTTGTTGTTTCCGCAGGATCAGGGAATTGACTCGGGCCGTGGCCAGAATGTACGAGAACTCGATCCATCATGATGCGTCGGTTCGCATTGGCGTGGTAGCTGTAGGCTCTGGTTCTCGTATTTGGGCTTCCCATGATGGCTTCATTTAGTAGTTATATTGCAAGTTTGTTCTTCAAGTCTTCAGTCGTTTCAATAAGGGAGGGCAAAGTTATGAGTAGCAGTACATTCTCCCAGTCCCTGTATATGATTCGGTGTCAATAACGTACGAGTGCAGCGACATACCTTCGTTGGACTTTTCCCACATCACGCGATACGAAAACTATACTCTTGTCACCTGACGACATTTCAACAGTCAGGGTAAGTGTGGAGTAGGCGCATGCAAGCTGTAGTGTCGGGAAAGACTATTCGGGCTGGAGGAATGGCTGCGGACATTCGGCGCTATGTCTTCAATTATTTATAGGCGTTGTGGAACTAGTGTGGCTTGCGGTGTTTCTGGCGTGGGCTGTGACTTCGTAGCACTAAGACTTGTTTAAGAGTTTAATTTGTGTCAAGTTTCATTTATGATTTAAGTTTAATTTGCGTCAATAAGTCAAGTAAGTCCGTCAAAGTTTAATTGCATGGTTCTTCCGGCCATCCAAATGACGACTCTTCCAGACTTTCCTGGTTTTTTATACCATATTCTTTGAACACAATTCTCTGTAATGGTTTTAACAGTAATAATACTATGCACCTTATTTTCAGATTATTTTCTAAGTTTCCGCAGCACTTCGACATAGCAAACGCCACACCGTATCACCCTGAACGGTCGATGTCGAGGTGCACTAGTGAATGGAGTCAGGAGCAACTACTAACATTTTGACAGCTTGTGCAGTAGTTCACATTAATAATTAATCATTCCTTGCTATCGTGCAGTGCTAGCTAATATCGCCATTTCTTTTCTTTGGAGTTGAATTAAGGAGCACTGGGGAAACTAACAACGTGGACTAACTTAGGAAGCTGAGGCAAATCCGGGATCATGTGTTTTCTTGCAGCATCCGCAACTTCGCTGTGATTTTTTAAATTATTTTCTGTGGGATCTCAGTTCCTAAGTCTGTGTTCAGCCTCCAAGGGACTACAATGTCAGCCAATGCTGCAGTAAATGCTGCTCTTGGTGCAGCAAATCTAACACGCGTTAGCAGGAAGAGAGAGATAGTAGTATCTTCATGTTGGCAAATAAAACAAATTGGATCCATAGGTCATCCCAAAGCGGGCTCGGTGAGCGCCCATACCAGCGTGGCCGCAGCGCATACATTTCACAGTACTTGGCAATATCCGACTGCGGTAGCTATAATCAACGTAATTAATTTAATCCTCTAGACTCGGTCGAAAGTGGCCGGTGTAAGTTGCAGCAACATGTCCGATTGTCCGTGCCAATGTTCCTTCCAAGTTCCAATGAATGAGGAAGGATTTCATCAACTGGCCAATCGAGAAGATCAGTCGGAACTCAGCACATGTGCAAGGTTTGTCACGCGATCGGCACACTCATTGTAACTCACTTCACTGCAGCTCTGCACGCAGCAGAGAGATACCTAGTTCAGGCCATACAGAAGAAGCAGTAAGTAAAATTAAAAACAAAATTGAAGTAGAAGCATGGTTATTTGGGTTTCTGATGACAATATATGATTTCAAGTCGGTCAAAATAACCTACGGTGGTAGATTTTGAAGATCTCGACTACAAACAATTTACTGCCGAGAGCGAGCGGCCTGCGGATGCCGGATATCTCTCCATGGGATGTACGAAGAAGCAATCAAATACTTCATCTCAGTTACAAGATGACATCAAATGAAAACACTATTTAACCATTATTAATGGTTTCAATTCATTCTAAAACGTAACTATTTCTTCTTAAACACGTACAATTTATTGACCAGAGAATGCATTATATTACAATTTTCAGGGAGGAACCAACGCAGTGGTCTTCATGCAGTGGAGCCCATTGTTTAACGACTGACAATTGCTGGAGTCTTCATCTATTGGTGATTGGGCACCAGTTGTCCGTTTACAAACTAATGGAATTGTCTGAACTTTGAGATAGTTTTCTATCATTTTCCACTTAAAAAAATTGATGCTTCTATTAACTTGAAAATGAATGTTGATACATTCGAAACGCCGTTAAATACTTGCTGATAAGGCAAAATAAGTACCTGCTGAGACCTGCTTTTTGATCTATTAACGCCATCTGAAGAATTTTTCGACTATGAAAATTGTAATACAAGCCATTCTCCGGTCAATAATAGTACGTGTTTCAACAAAAAATTCTGCCATCTGATACTAATTTCTTCTTAAACTTATACTTGTGCGTCATTTTATTATGCATATTTTCACAGAGTATAGCGTTGAGCTCTCGAGTATTATCCATCGTCGACCCAAGGCTTCACTTGACTCGAAGTAATCGCTTACATGGAAAATAAAATGACGCCTCAGACACTGCTTTACTCATCAGAGGTGGACAAATATTCAACTAAGCCGTAACCGTGGGCAGGAGAGGCGCGGCAGTGTTGCCAAGTTGCTAGTAGGCAACACTTCATATTTCCAGGCCTTCAACTCTAACTGCAACCCCCAGGCTCCTACGTAACTATCATAACTTTTCATACGAATGAAATCTTACCCGTTCACTTTACTGTAATCCTGACATTCACATAAAATTCCTACCTGCATAACTTTAACTCCCAATTTTATAAAAATCGTAAGCGGTATAAAATAAATTTATTAGATCTCAACGATAAAAATTGTGTTTACTCCAAAAACGCTAAAATGTTGCTTAATTTTACATGTAGAGGTTAGTCCCGCTTGTGCTCCGGCATCGCACGGCAGAGCACCTGGCACGTAAACGTCAGCTTCTCTGCAATAGAATAATTTGATTTATTAAATAAATATTGAATATTTCTTCAATAAGGTGAATATGAGATTAGAGCGCGCGATGAAGGTTGTTTTTGTGGGGTGAGGTAGGGGAGATGGAAGTCAGGGGGGCGGGGGTGCATAAAGGGAGGGGCGAAGTAAGAGGAGTGGGGGGTACGTAAAATAATGGAGGGGTGCGAGGCACGTAAGAATAGAATAGAAGTGTCGGCGTTGAAGAAATAGGCCCATGGCCTGTTGCCGATTCTTGAACTTTTCGTGACTTGATTTACTCTGAACTTTAACCACTGGGCCACCCTGCCCAAAGAGAGGGGGCATTTTTTCTAACAGTTCCTTGTGGGGGTTGAGACGCAGTGAGCATCTCACCTGCTGCAGTAGACAGCCAAGCCGGTCTGCTGCGCCGGCGGACGCAGCAGTAGTAGACAGGCACGCCCGTGAGCAGCACTGCGACCGCCACGCCGAGCTCCACGGGGCGCGTCACGACGGGCGTCGCCACCAAGAACACGCACACCACCAGGAACACGATGGGGAAGCCCAGCCACACCTGCCGGGGTGAGGGGAGTCAACAGGACGAGGCGAGGTGAGAGATATAGATTGGTATAGAACACCGACATCACCCATAGATCGTGTGACCTGCCTTCATGTGATACCTTCTCTACCGTTGAATTTTGAATTGCTATACAGGGCGGAATAAGGGGTGATCTCGACAGGACCCCATCACAATTAATAGGAACCGTCTACATATCTCCATGCATCGGCCACATCGACTACATCCACTTTCATGCTCTCCTTAGCAGACCTCACCAGGTGAAGCTATTCGCAGACTTCAATGCCCGTCACCAATCGGTAAGGAAAACAAATGCCCACCACTCAGGAAAGCAGCTTCAGCCCCTAATAGCACGGAAAAATCATCCACATAGGCCTCTACTTCCCCACTCTCATCACCCATAGAAGCACTACAGCGCCAGATCGAGTTCTCCAAAACAATAAAGCCTTCCACAACATTCAACTTCAACCCGGACCAATCACCCCTCAGATCACATTCCAATTATCGGCACCATCTCCGCCAACCCAATACAGATCCCAATTCGACAACACAACTCATTCTTCTTCAGAGCCGACTTGACACAATACAAAGAGCCACTCTCGCACCATCCAGTACACCCAATGCCTGACCCTACACTCGAGAAATAGACTGCTACCTCGACAACTGGACGAAACTAATTCAAGACGCAACAGACAGAACCGTCCCCAACATCGCACACCACATCATCCCCGGTATAAAACCGACACACGAAACTCTTCTGATTCAGATACAGTACCAAGGTGCCCTGCTTTAACACATGTCAACTCACGGCCCATCGATAGCTCTCAATCGACAACTACAACTACGTTCTCTGCGTACGCATCTACAAACCGCCTACCAATGTCTCCAAACAACAACATGGCAGGAACTCATCACAACACTCGAGCTTCAGCAAGACCCTAAACAATTGTAAAAGTCAGTTAAACGGATGCTTGGCTCTAATCAGAAACAGTCAGCATCCTACCTCAAACACGAAAACACTCTACTAGACACTCCGCAAGATAACGAACCCATACTTATACAACACTTGCAAAACATGTTCACTGAAAACGACAACGACGACTTAACAGTGAACACGACAATACCATTGAAGAACACGTGAACAATATCAGATAACACAGAACACCGTACCAAAGAGGTGACCTCTCTAGAGTACACCCTCTAAATTTATCATCCATCACCACTGCCGAATTCAAACATCACTTCGCTCCTTCAAACATAAAGCCGCTGGTCCCACTGGGATAGCCTTCCTCCAACTCAAGAATTTCCCTCGGAACATAATCCAATACCTTCTATATATATTTAATCAATGTATCTCTGCCGGTTGATTTCCTGACAACTCAAACACTCAATAATGATTGATATTCATATATAAAAGCCAAATACATCACAACACCAAATCAAAAACTACACACCAATCTCCCTCCTAGACGTCCACAGCCACCACCAGTCCCAGACACACAAGATACCAAACCCGAGACAACACGGATTCAGAAAATACAGAGGCACACATACTGCATTAACTACACTACACGAGACCCTCACAATACATTCCACGCAAAATCACAAAACAGACCTGGTCCTCCGAAACGTTTCCAAAACTTTCGGCACGCCAGCCTAGCCTACAAAATCTCCAACTCAACCATCACCCCTCATTCACAAGAACACTGATTGATTTCATTACCGACAGAACAGCATCTATTGGGATGGGTACATTCCTGGGCCCTCCTTTTACATTGCAGTCGGGGGTTTCCCAGGGTGCTTGCATCTCACCCCAGTTATATAGCTTTTACACACACGATATACCACCACCAATACCAAACACCGACTTTGCCTTGCAGACGACATCACCCAAATTACAGTAGGGAGATACACACATCAATACGAAGCCTATCAAACAAAACACGCAGTACAACAAATCAAAGCATTTGAACAAAACAAAACAAAGCATTTGACCAACATAACCAAATTAAGAATTATCCCTATCAGCCGTGAGAACACATGCTACATCTTTATCGAAGACCGGTATTTCACTTACGCAAATAAAGGCACCGTTCCAGGGCTACAAATGACAACTCACGGCTACAACGCACAAATCACTTCATGTCAGAACATAGTCCAAAATAATCTACAAAAACTTCAATGATTCGTCAACCTTCCCCCACCTAAAATACTGATCATCATTAATCTACCCTACCATACCGTTATACTCTATCATGGTCGACGATATCCAAATAGCACAAAACCGAGCCCTCAGATTCACAAGCAACACCCACTGGTACGACTTCATCACCTAATCTCTGCACGAAAGATGCAAGATGCCCACGATCAACAGTCCTTCACGAACACGCCCGCTATATCTGGCGCAAAATGAAAATATATGAACCAGAACTTTTCAACCAACAGGACATCAGTTATAGAGAACATCAACGGTTCAAAAAGTCCAGGATGCTAGTAGCATTGTGTCTAACACCACCCCCATCTACTAATAGTCACCCATCAAATAACCGTCATCGTCCTCGCATGGGCCATCTGCACCTGGGCGCCCTTTCCTGGGCGTCTGGAGGGTAGTAGTCCGTCAGGAGTCACAAATGACTACCGACGGAAGTAACAGACCGAGAGCGACGCACAACATGACAAGTCCCTTGATCAACTTTAGCTACCCATTGACATCCCCAGCGTTCACAAACCACCCATCAACATCATCTAAATCATTATCATCAACGAAGCAAGTAAAAACCGAAGAATCGTATGGTGAATCAAGAACATGAGAAGAATTAAGAACATGAGAGGAAAATTTACAACATAGTGAGCACCTACTACTGCATTCTTCATCGTAAATATCACCTCGAATGCATCATCAGTAAATATCGAACCCCAATCGATCCCACAATACTCCGCACAATTAAAAAAAGTCTCCCCCAACCCTAATGAAACCCCTAAAAACCTATAAGCAACCCAATTATGCGCTGTGCGCCTTCCCATCAACTATTTTTTCATTTCTCCTTCTCTAACTGGCCACTCTGTGCCACCTCTGGTTCTCTTGCACTCTTTCCTGTGGCACCGCACCGCCGCCACCACGCTGCATGTCTTCACAGGCTGCTACATTCTCTAGTGTTCTCACCCACGTAAAGGAATATGAACTAAAGTGTATAGTACGGCAAAGCTGGCCTCCGCCATGCGCCCCGCTGGGAATGACTCCCTCTGATGGCTGCGAGTGACTCACCCTGATGGGGCGATTGAGGTGCGGGTGCCGCCATCGCATGTACAGCAGCGCGGAGATCGACACGAGGATGAAGAGCGACTCGGTGAAGGAGATGTAGTTGATGAGGGCCTCAACCTCGACAGTTATCAGCATGAACACCGTCATGGCGCCCTGAGAACAGCACCATTATCAGCATGTACAGAAAACGGAGAATATTTACAGGGACAATAAGGCAACGCGGGAGCAGGCTCGACGCCCCCCGTCATGAGGAGGCACCTCACCAGGAAGAGGAGCGCCGGCACGGGGGTGAGGCTGCGGACGTGTATGAGCCCCAGGGCCTGGGGCAGGTGCCCCTGACGCGCCCCTACGAAGAAGAGGCGCGACGAGGCGAAGATGCCGCCGTTCAGGGACCCGAACGTCGAGCAAGCGACGAAGAGGGGCATAAGCCACGCCATCTTCCCCAGCATGCGGTCTCCGAACGACTGAAACGAGGGGATGAGGGGAGGCATGAGGGGAGGGTGGGCGATGAACATGAATGAACAAAGGAAGACGACGAACATGGATGAAAAAAGGAGGGCGATGAACATGGATGAACAAAGTAGGGCGATGAACATGGATGAACAAAGGAAGACGATGAACATGGATGAACAAAGGAAGACGATGAACATGGATGAAGAAAGGAAGACGATGAACATAGATGAACAAAGGAAGACGATGAACATGGATGAACAAAGACTATGAACATGGCTAAACAAAGGAAGCTCACGACGGCCACGGCGTTGGAGGCGAGGATCTCGGCGGGCGTGAGGACGGCGAAGTACGCGACGTTCACCAGGAAGTAAATGAGCGTCACCAGCGGCAGGGAGATGAGGATCGCCAGCGGCAGGTTCCTGAACATCAGTAAGCCAAACAGACAGCCAAAACATTAGTCTGAATATCATTAATAATCGTAATTTTCAATATTAATAACGGTAAGGCAACCCGACGCCCCGAACTTGTTAAAATTACATAAAGTAGCTGCGTCATCAGACCAGCAAGCGCAGCCGTGCATGACGTAAGCTACCCGACATCCTTCTTACATTATCAAGCTTTACTGATTTCACGATATCTGTCTGTCTCAATTTTGATTCTTAGGTACCAAAAACTAATTCCTATGGAACGTTTTTCCATCATAGTTGCCGAGACCTGTACGGGTTCTGGAGCTCCTCCACGACGAAGTTGAGATAATTCCAGCCCGCGAAGGAGAAGAGGCCCTGGTAGAAAGCGGTGGCTATGGCCCCGGCTTCCCAGATGGTGCCTTCGAACGGATGCTGATAGTTTTCCGTGTGTCCCGTGGACAAATGATACACGCCAGCGACGATGATGATGATGAGCGCGATGATCTTAGCTACGGTGAATACGTCCTGAACTTTGGTTGCCCAGTCCACGTTGGTGCAATTAACCCAAGTTAGGAAGCCTGGGCAAGAAGTGCAGTTTATTGACGGATAATTTATTATCTTCATGATCAATAATTACTTGATAATTAATTTCATTCTATTATTATTGAAGAATTATTTCATCAATAAAATGTAAACTTTATCATAATTTTCAAGAAATTAATGACGGACGTTTGCCGATATTGTTATTCAATAAAACTTGAAAGTGTTCAAGGCATCGCAGTGTGCTGTTTCTAACACATTGATATCCCTCTTCCTGAATAACTTAATACAGTATGTCGGAAATCAGACATTAACGTCAACACAGAGACCACACATGTGTGGCACTCACATATCACACAAGCTGCCAGCAATCTGATGGCGGTGTCGGGGGGCGCGCAGCCCGCGAAGAACGGCTGAAGGATGTAGTTAGCGAAGGTGAGGGCGATGACGGTGTTGCCCGTCGGCATGATGATCACGAGCGCCACCCACAGGTACAGGAACGCCGGCAGCGACCCGTACGCGATGGAACACATCCATGCGACAACATTTCTTCTCGCTTCGAGTCACCGACATGTGGAACAGCCTCCCTGATAGCATCGTTGACGCTCCGAGTATGAACATCTTCAAAAACAGACTAGACGAAGCTATGCAGGAGCATATGTTCAATGACCCATCTTGCACCATGACCCACCTTGCACCATGATCCATCTTGCACCATGACCCACCTTGCACCATGACCCATCTTGCACCATGACCCACCCTGCACCATGACCCACCTTGCACCATGACCCACCCTGCACCATTACCCACCTTGCACCATGACTCACCCTGCACCATTACCCACCTTGTCACCATTACCCACCCTGCACCATGACCCACCTTGCACCATTACCCATCTTGCACCATGACCCTCCTTGTCACCATGACCCATCTTCCACCATGACCCACCTTTTCACCATTACCCACCTTGTCACCATGACACACCTTGTCACCATTACCCACCCTGCACCATGACCCACCTTGCACCATGACCCACCCTGCACCATGACCTACCACGCCCCACTCACCCAGCTCGGCGTAGCACAAGGCCCCCACAAGGGACAGGACCCCCGACACGCCCCACACCACCAGCGACATGGCGACGCTCCCCGAGTACCGCAGCACCCCCGTGGGGGACACGAAGATCCCCGACCCTGCACCACCACACACAACATCACCAACAGCAACTCTATATTACAGTTAAAATTAATTTTACAATCAATATTACAATTAATATTACAATTACTGTTGTATATCGTCATACAAATATGTGTAGGACATACATGGGGTTCTGAGTCGCCCACGCGCTGAAGGAGAAGCTTACTCACCAACGATGACACCCACTCACCCACGATGATACCCACTCACGATGATGCCACTCACCCACGATGATACCGACGATGATGCCGACGCCGTTCCACAGCCCCAAGCTCTGCTGCATCTTTATGCCTTCCCCTGGCGGGGGGTCGAGCATGGCCTCCTCCTCCCCGAGCCCCGCGGGGAGTTTATCCTTCTCATTCTCAGGAATATTGCGTAGGGAAGGAAGGGAAGTGCGTAGGGAAGGAAGTGAAGGGTCTAACCCTATTGTTGAGGGGTCTGTGGGACATGGGGAAGACGCTGGGGACGTAGTGGTGACTTGGGACGAGGTAGGGGACGGAGAGTGGCTGCGGTCTAAGGACCCAGAAGGAGAAGACGCGGTCTCAGCGTCTGCTGCAGGCGCCAATCTTACATCGCCTTCAGTAGACATTGTTGGTCATCTACTGCACTCTTGTACCATATACTGCACCATCGACTGCACGCTAGTACCATACACTGCACTCTTGTACCATATAATGTACCATCTATTACACATCCGATATCTACAACACTTTGCTCATGATAATATTTTATTAACTACGTACCGGCCTTTCTGCAGGGTGCCAAGTGATATAATATTTATAGAACCTATCTGGATGTTATTGCTTAGTTAATTACTGGGATTGGGTTTTGTATTAAACGTAGACGAGATTCAGCCATATTGCACCAAACGACGCGTGCACCACACAGGCGACGTTTGCTCCACACAGACGACGCGTGAAGCACACAGACGACGCGTGCGCCACACAGACGACGCGTGCACCACACAGACGACGCGTGCACCACACAGACGACGCGTGCACCACACAGACGACGCGTGCACCACACAGACGACGCGTGCACCAC